AAAAATGACATCACAACTTATCGTTATAAAATCAATATTTATTTTATTAAAAGTTAATAATTCAGGTTTGTTTATCAGTACCATAGCAACGGTCAACTTCCGCTGGAATTGTCGGATAGGAACCGTCCGTAGCTTTTCGCAAGAGTTCAAATTTTTGAACGCATCCGGATGACCAACGGACACGATTTTCTTCGCACCGCACTCGGTCGGACCCGTTTCGGACCCATTCGCATGCGGTCTGCGAATCTCCATAGGAAATGAATGACTTCCGGTCGTTTCGCAGCCGCATCGGAGCGGATTTCAACTGCCAGTGTGAAGGCGGCGTAACTTCAGGGCATGCTGCTTATGGCACACACTGAGTTTCGCAATGTTACACCAATGCATTTGTTAAGTATAGCATTAAATCACAAAATGTATTGAATTCAATGGAAATTTCACGTTTTATTCTATTATAGAGCCACCAATAGGCTCAGTCCCACCATTTTTTAACGTGTCCTCGGAGTGAGCCAATACATCCATGTACCAAATTTGGTGAAAATATCTCAATTCACTTCATTATAGACATTTATATGATGTTATAGACATTTATATGAAAAAAAAACATAAAAAATTACTGGCATGTGACTTTGACTGAATTTTACAACCCCTTAATAGCAATTTTTTTGCACTTAGATACTACCATACAGCCAGCGACCTATGTTTCCAAACTTCCGACGGTGGTTTCGTCTCGATCGGACTAGCAGTTTTGAAGATATCGGCAATTGTTTTTTAAGCGCTAAATTACTGCGCTGCACAAACCATATGACGGATCCTGGCATGTCCGGTATCGTTGGACCCGGCAACGATTCAGGAACCCAACGAGATGACTGATTTTTGGACAAACCGTTCAGAAGTTATGTTCAAAAATAGCCAGCGACCTATGTTTTCAAACTTCCGACAGTGGTTTCGTCTCCATCAGACTAGCAGTTTCGAAGATATCTGCAAATGTTTTTTTAAGCACTAAATCGCAACGCTACAGAAACCGTAAGACGAAACCTAGCATGTTTGGTATTGTTGGACTCGGCAACGATTCAGGAACCCAACGAGATGACTACCGTTAAAATAAGTCAACTACAGTTAGAGTTATAAGCGTTTGAAAATGTAATTTTACCACTAGGTGGCGCTATTTTGAAACTTCTCAGGCTCCTTCAGGGCATCGTACTGATGACCCATACTGAGTTACGTAACAATTTGATCATGCGTTCAAAAAATACAGCATTTTAGCACATAATTCAAAATGGCCGACTGCCAAAATGGCCGATCAGGGAAAATTTGATATCAGTCGACTCGGCATGATGCCCTGAATATAACAAGACCAGTTTTATGATTTTTGGACAAACCGTTCAGAAGTTATGTTCAAAAATAGCCAGCGACCTATGTCTTCAAACTTCCGACAGTGGTTTCGTCTCCATCAGACTAGCAGTTTCGAAGATATCTGCAAATGTTTTTTTAAGCACTAAATCGCAACGCTACAGAAACCGTAAGACGAAACCTAGCATGTTTGGTATTGTTGGACTCGGCAAGGATTCAGGAATCCAACGAGATGACTCCTGTGAAAATAAGTCAACCACAGCCAGAGTTATCAGCATTTGACATTTTAATTTTACCACTAGGGGATACTGTTTCGAAACTTCTCAGGCTCCTTCAGGCCATCATACTGATGACCCATACCGAGTTTCGTAACAATTCGTTCATGCATTAAAAAAATACAGCATTTTAGCACATAATTCAAAATGGCCAACAGCCAAAATTGCCTATCTGGGAAAATTGGATATCAGTCGACTTGGCATGATGCCATGAGTCTAACGAGACCACTTTTATGATTTTTGGACAAACCGCTCAGAAGTTATAAGCAAAAAATATCCATTTTTCATTTCTCTGGACCAGTAGGTGGCGCTGCATGTAGCCTCAGGTCATGCTTGTGATGACATGTACCAAGTTTGGTCTGAATATGATTAAGCGCTGCGGAGATACAGCCTTACGTCTGTTTTCTCAAGCGTTACGTAAATCCATATGTAAATCTTGACTTTTTGTCAGCATAACTTTTTGTTAGCACTGCCTGGAGATGATCTGGTGCAATTTAGGTGAAAATCAGACAAACTGTCTAGGACAAGTTCGTAAAAGTACGTTTTTTGGACAATTCAATATAGGGGTCGACCGAAGTGTGATTTTCAGGGCCGATGCCGAAACCGATTATTACAGATCAAATAGGCCGATAACCGATATTTTGAACCGATATATATATATATATATATATATATAGGGCTGTCAAGTCAACCGCAGAGGACTGCACGTAACCGCAGCAACCGCGATATTCACGTTTTTTTTGTTTTTTCTTTTTTTTTCTTTTATAAGGCTATACCCTTCTTGTTTTTAACTTAATGCATGTGTATTGAATGTTAAACAAGTTCATAATGATAACAAGACTGTTTATCATGGTGATGTCTAGCAAACAGGCTTCACACAGACAGTGAATGAGAGAGATCGGCAGAGCGCGTGCAATTACCTGCGTCTGTCTTTGAAGTCGTGAAAAGCTTGTCGTGTCAAAGGGAAGCGAAATATTTGTCGCATCATCATTTTAACGTTCTCTTCACGGGTATTTTCCCATAAATGCGCGTCAGCAGCAGCGCTGGTAAGCATCCCACAGCACAAGGAAACCACGGGGAAATAAAATCAGTGAGTCACGCATTGAATGATATATTGGTCTCTAATAAGTGAAGCATCAGCTTCAGCGTTGCCCATGCGACGCATTGCTGCTCAGCTGAGCCTTGAAAAGTTGAAATAATTAACATCTTGTTTCTTTACATCTCTTTTAATGAATCAGCTTTTTTTAAACGTGTTCGTTGAATGAACGGTTCAATGACTCGCTCAAGGTCCGTTGTCATAACAATATGCGCGCTGAGTGAAAGTCTTTCAATGCGCATGTACTAACTGTAGACGCTGTTTAGTTTCGGTTACATTGGTTACTGAAAATGTCCTCGTTTTTGTCCACATCGTAAACTTTATTTATATAGCAACAAATACATAGGCCTATAAATTAAATAAATAAATAAATGGCGGTAATACCGCATATCGCGCTATTGAGCCACTCCACATTACCGCAAGGGAAATTCCATAACCGTGACAGCCCTATATATATATATTATATTTTAGCCTATGTCTGGTGTAAAACTGTAAATTAATGTCAAAATTAAGTTGACAAATATTTTCTTTAAATGATTTTAAACATATCTTTGAATATGAGAACTGTTATTAATAATAATAATAATAATAATAATAATAACAAAATGCAGGGAGCACCCAGCAGCATTCTGTAAACATTTTGTAAAACTTAAAGACTCTATTTTAATGTTTAAATAAAATTTTAGTAATCAAAAAGCATTTCTAATTCATTAAAATCATTAAACGTATTCAATTTATTTACAGTTTAACAAAAATTACATTTTTAGGGCTTTGTGAAAAACCGAACTTTTATTTTGACGGGTAGCCGTGGAGATCTTTGAGTTTCCGTTTGTCTATGATGTGATGATAACTTTTCTCAGTTGAAGCATTAAAAAGCTCATGAAGTGACTAAGCGAGTGACTCTGGAGATGTTGTTTATGCAATCATGTCCTCATATAATGATCCGGATGAGGCTGAAAACAGCGCAAGCGTCACGCGTGCTCCAGTGTGTGTTGTGTGTGTGTGGTAAATGAAATCACGCGTCAGCGCCATTCATTTAGAGACAGGCAGGATTAATATTTAAATAGTCTTTTTGCGGTTTGATTTGTACTGACCTGCTTTTTATTAATTCATCAAAGTTGACAAATTCCGTGATATTCCGCTTTATACAGTAAATTCTGTTTTTATGACTGGAGTCCGCGATTCCGTCTGTTTACTGCATCGCGGAAATCACAGGGCTGTATTATATTGAGGTATTTTGCAACTTCAGTGTATTGCAATGCTTCTTCAGCAAAATCTGCTGCTGCCTTAACTTTGAGAGACAACTGATGCCTTTGAGAGACAACTGATGCGTGATCCGTGAAGCAGCTCCAGTCAGCGAGTGCTCTCGGTCTCGGTGTGGGTGCAAAACTTCAGCTTGCCGCGCTGATTGGCCAGACTCGGGACTATCAACAAATCAGATGTGCGGGGACATAAGTCTAGTCTACAGAGTGGTGAGTTCCGACAGAGGTGGCTGCGTTAGAGCCAAAAATAGCGCATTTCAAAATAAAATTATTTTATCGGATAATCGGATTTGAAAATGGCCGATACCGATAACCATAAAAATGCTTAAAATCGGCGCCGATAATCGGCCAGGCCGATAATCTGTCGACCCCTAATTCAAAATGGCGGCCATTTTAATGACGTCATAGGGTGCAATCTGGATAATTTCAGTAAGTCCATTTTTGGGAGGAAAAAGCTCAGTATGATAATAAGCAAAAAAAGACACCACATATAAAAAAGAAATATAGCCTAAAACAAAAACATTTCAAAAAATGTAAAATGGTAGGTTATATAAAAATAAAACAATAATACATTATTTTGATTAACAAATTACTGTCTTAAGTTAACTCAATTATAGTTATAAACGCAAATAATAATTGTCATTATTATTAGCATACATTTTGGCTAGAAGACACTTATCCAAAAAAGGAACAAAAAAAAATTGTCAAATGTCATTCATAATACAGGTTTGACAATTATAATACAGGGCTAAGATTATAAGTATTTGTTTAAGAATAAAATACAATCCGATATTTATATCAGATTGATATTGGTATTGGCAAATAGCCAGTACTAGGGACATCCCTAGTTTCTGTCTTCCATATCTAGAGCATTTCTCTACAGTCTTTAGTAAATTGTCTTATAAAACTCTTGGATTTAGTGCAATATCAGAATAAAAATCTCCAAATGCTGCATTATATATTAGTATAGTAGGATTAAACAGTATTTAATATAGTATTAACCTACACAGTTCTTACATGCTGATGTCTTGACATTCTGGGAACCGTGTGTCATTGAAGAATGTTCCATTGAAGAAAAAGAAAGCAGACTTGTAGTGATCCTAAGAAAAATAAACATTCACTTTTTAGCTGTATGTTTGCTATCTTTGCCAATGTCAATTTGGCCCTGTTCAAAAGTGGTTTATATTGAGTGACATCTTGTGTGTTTGTTTCTAACCTTGCTGATGAACTGTGGTACCATGTCTGGAGTGTTGCTGAACTCTCCAAACACCTGCAGGTCACTGACGCAGCAAATCGCATCTCTAAGATCACTCAGCCTCTGAGAGCCCAACACATGCAGAGTCTGATATGCCCTCACATACTTAAACTGGAACAAAAAATGAACATTTATTCATTGGAGAAGCTTACTGATACTAATTTATATTGTTAAATGAAATTAAACTTATATTTGTGTTTATGTGTTACATGCATACCCGCTGAAACAGAATGGGATACATAATATTAAAGGTCAATATGATTTCTCCTTCAGGAATCAGGTCTCTGGGGTCATCAGGCTTCTTACCCACAGATATCATCTCCTGCATGAAAAAAACATGGATTAAAGTCTGGGACACACCAAGCCGATGGGTCAACCATCGGGCAATGCGGGGCAGTTTTTGATCATTGGTCAGCTTAGTTTTTTCAGTGTGTTCCACACTGTTGGCTCTAGTTGGACGCTGTGGGCTATTTTTTGGCCAATTCTGCATGTCGAATCGGTGGCGGAGCCTGTCCGTAAGAGAGAGGTCACTTCAGTTGGCTGGCCAGACTTAATCATCGTTTTTGTCCAATTCCATTGACTTGACTTGGACAAAAACTAAGATAAAACCAGTTTGAAAGCATCTTTTACAGCGATTTTTGTGTGAGCATATCAGTGAACATCCCAGATCATTCGGTGAGTTTCATGTATTTGTAAACTAAAGGTTAATGCGTTTTATGAAGGATTGTTCTAGTGCACATATGCAACCATTGTGGAAGTGGGGGGAGCCACCACAGAAACCGAAAATTCTCGGGCCAGTAGCATGTGTCCAAATTTCAATCTTAACCGTTCTATTTAATCAAAAACGATCTTAAAACAGGGCTTTAAGTGTAAAATACCGAATTTGTCCTTTAATGTATAACCCTCTGGGGTCGACAAAGGTGCCGGAGCGGTTTAATTGATTTTTTCACATCGCAGCAAAATAGACTTGCTCCATTTATGGTCATACAGACTTAAGAAATAAACTGTCTACTACTTTATGGGTCCACTTACAATCGAAACAAAACGTGCTGTTGTAAAATAAAGAAAATAAACAGGGTATGCTTTCTGCCTCTCCATTTCTGTGAACTTTTTTTCTGGAGTACTCTTAAGTCTCTAAGCTTACAACTCAGCAAATACTATTCACCCAGGCATGAACCATACATCTTTATAATCATTTAAGCATGTACTTTTAAAGGTGCAGTGTGTGATTTTAGCGACATCTAGCAGTTCGGTTGTGAGTTTGCACTAAGGGCTCAGCTGTACAAATCACAAACGTAACCAGAACATTTCTCCCCACATAGCAATAACCATAATACAGTGAGGGAGAAGAACCACATGAAACTCACGTCTAGAAGATTTATGCGTGTGTCTTTGTGCGTACGTGTGTGTGTGTAGGCTACTCATCTCAGACAGCGCGCAAATAATTGAGGTCTCTTTCAAGTCTTGCACTTGAATGGCCAAATTCACACAAAAAGTATGTCAACATGTCCGTCTTGATGAGTATCCTAGCAGACATAGTCTGTTATGCCTTAAGTGAAGTTATATGCTCAAGATACACTCACAGTATCATGTAAACCTACTATATCAGCTCTGAATTGAATAATTAGATTTTATATACACTGTTAAATGTTTCTGTTAATGTACAACTCGTTTCTGTTATTTAACAGCAAAATCGAAAAATCAAGCAATGTCGGATAGAGTAAGATGGTCTGGTAACCTATGTTTGGAGATAAATGCCGATATGCAATTTAATTCTCATTATATATAAAAAAGTTATTTATCTGTAGAGATGATAGCAATTTAATTTAGTTTTTTTTAGGTTGTTCTTTCTGGACATGGTGTAAATATCTTTCTTGTACTGTCTATGGTAAATATCCGTATGCCAGGCAGCAGCCTGGCAGGCACTATTATGTGTATATGCGCCACTATTTGAAATAACATGTTCATACAGTATTTTTTTGGAGAGAGCGTAGAAGAAGGCATTTGAACCTGCAATGAACACGGAGATCCATGTCTGTCGGAAAATCGCGGTGGTTACATCGACCAAAATAACAATAATCCAGTGAGTGAGTTGCTCGATATTGCTCTGTGCAGCGCCGGTTCAAGTTAGTAAACCAGCCAGTAAAAGTGGAGTATGGAGCGCTACAGGTCACGGCACGTGGAGAAATGGCAAGTGGGACAGATGAGGGATGAGGGAGGGAGGGATGAGGGAGGATGCGCCAGCGTCGTATAAGTCTATGCAGACTGATCTCGTCAAGTAGCGTGTGTATGACACGCCAATTCGTATTTCCATTTTTGGCGTGCTATCAAGACGCATAATCGCTTTTCAGCGTGTTTATGAACGCCGTTGACTTAATGTTATTACTGTATATATAAATATATGACTTACCTCAACCCCGTCCCTAAACCTAACCGTCACTGGGGTTAATGGCATTTATGACTGTTCCCTTACCATCCTAGGGGAAAAAAAAAAAAAGATTGCTCCCCAGATGTAGATCTACATTTTGCTTCGTTTCGCATGGACATTTGACGGCGTGTACAGACACGCGGAATCACTCGGACGTTAATAGCGTAGACATACACGCATACACGCGGACAGCTCAAAATGCGTAGAGATAACACGCCACTTAACTCTAAAGTAGCGTGTATGTTTACGCAAAAGTCATGATGTTATGTTGGTCTATGGTTTGGTATAAGTCCAGTGTGTGGGAACATTTTGGATTTCATGCTATGATATTTTAATATAATGCTACAGTGCACTTTATGTTTAGATAAGAGCTTCAGTCATATGTTTCTAAATCGTGCACTTTAATTTCAAGTGAAAAAAAGTACCCTCACTCTCTGGGAATAGAAGCATTGTTGATACTGTTTTTGTGTTGAGGAGGTTGAATGTATGTTTCACTTTGTTTATGGCCTTTGCTATTGCTATAGCCTAATTATAGGCAATGAGGTTTCATGTATATTGACTTAGGCTATTCATAAAAGAGAGTGTTTTAAGAGTTCCTCTCTTTTTCTTTAAAAAGATAGAATTTGGCAGTTGATAAATGCAAGTTAAAGTCCCTGTAAAGGCAATTCTACAAAAAAGTTCTAAACGCATTATAAATGTTACATATGTATTGCTAAAACATATTACAAAGACTGTGAACTGTGAAGTACTGAAATGTGGAGTTAGACCGTTAAACAGTTTTTCACCATTGCAATTTTACGGATTTTTTTGGGCGGGGCTAAAACAGGGCTCGATGACGCACTGGAGCCCATGAGCTCCTGGACAAGCCCCTATTTGATGACGCATTTTGCTGATCTCATCTCTCCCCTAACAATAGAGCACATTCACCGCTCAATCGCGAGTGACTGTCAGTCCTATTAGTTACTACAGCCTACAGTTTTCTAGCTAGCTATTTGACACAGAAATGCATAGGCTATTAACTGTTACCTGGATGCGATCATGTACAAAACAGATCAGTATCTTCATTTAAATTCCCTAAAAACGATCACATCAAGAAGAGGTTTTTAGAGAGCCAACCTTGTTGAAGAGCTGAGGATCACCGCCAACACCCGCCTCTGTAGTGATCGTTTTACACTGGATCGTTTTATGAACTTTCCTCAGAGACAACTGGGATTCACTGATTATTCACTGATAATCCGCTGTTACTGGTGAACGGGGCCGAAACGGCTATCTCTCGCCTCCAAAAGCTAATTAGCTAATATCACCGTCGACAGCTTTCCCATGAGTGGGCGTGGTTTCCACGCAGCCAGCGAACACGCCCCCAAGCGTTTGAGAGCAGAGATAACTGCTCATTTTTTCATGATTTTGATAGCTTATTTTATGTACTTGCCGGCTTTTTTTATCATTTAAATTTGGCTGGATGGCTAATAACACATTTTCTGTGGTGTGACAAACTCAGAACACATACTTAATTTTTACTTTACAGGGACTTTAATTTCTTTGTGTAAATAAGATTTGTGTGATAAAAATGCACAAGTTCTTATAGAGATAGTGATACACATTCTCCTTTATTTGAAAAATAAACAAAAAGCATGTCAATGTCTTCTCTTTTGCTGTATCAAAATCTCACCTAGCTTTCCTCAGAGATAGTCCCAAAATGTGCTTAAACTCAAGTAAAAACTCAAGACTGCATGAACATAATTTTTTTTAATACTGTATCCTAAAGTGTGGATAATTAAGCTATACATCACATGCTGAAGTATATTTCTGGAGTGTTAAAGATTAAAAGAAAAAAATAATAAGAACCGTACAGAACCGAAAACCGTGACCCTAAAACCGTGATACAAACCGAACCGTCGGTTTTGTGAACCTTGCCACCCCTAATATATATATATATATATATATATATGGGTATTGACACAAATTTCACAATTCGATTCACAAGCTTGCAATTTGATTCGATTTCGATTCTGATTCGATTCAATATTGATTATTTTGGATATCAGTTACAATAAAAGGTAAATTTTCTCAAGGAAATCAAATCTCTTACCTAATGCTCTAAACTAATGAGAGTCTAGTTGTAGCCTACTAGACTTCGTTAGCCTAATATGAAGGTAATAATTAACTGTTTTGTAGCTATACAAACACTTAAATTACACTTTTATTTATTTTTATAATAAGAAGATTATATGAATTATAAACATTTAAATGGTGGATGTCATAAAAACTTGCCATTTATTCAAATATGCATTAAATATTGAAGGGCGAAAATTGAATACAGCTCTTCAGTGTCCGCCGCATTAAAGTTAAAAGCACCAAGACTGTGTATTATACAGTATCTATGAAATAGTTTGTTAAGCCTTTTCTTTTAACAGTTTTAAATTTCAGTTAAGCTACTGAAGAACAATGAAGAACAATTATAGTGCGCCGACTCTAATGTTGTGAGCTAACAGACACTCAGTAGAAAGTGATTAAGTTACAGCAATAAAAGTCTAGCAAGATAGAAACCATCATAGACCTTTAACTACGGATCAATTATAATAATAACATTGAATCATCTTGGAAAGAGTTTCATCATTGTAACGCGACGCGCTGTTTGAACACCGAATAGAGAATGACTGACAGCCACAGTGGAGGGAAAAGCTAACTTGAATTTAATAACTTAAATATACATTTCTATCTCACATTATACTATAGTATGGCTTCATAAAGTATACAAGATTAACGTAGGTCACCTATTTTGGTTTCAGAACGGCGAATTTGCCGAAAGGTGAATGATTTTCGTGTATGCTGCATATTGATAGCGGTTTCCTGATGCCCGCAAATTAGTTCAAACTCACGGAATCAAGAGTGCG